AGGAGGAGGAAGCACGTCCCCGTAGGGAGCCGGTCAAGGTCAAGTTCCCGGATTCCTATAGCGGGAAGAATGAAGAAAATTTTGATAATTGGGAAGCCAATATCAAAACATATGTGCATTTATAGAAAGTCTCCCCGGATGAGCACGTCCTAATAGCCATTCACGCCCTGAGGGAGGAGGCAGCCAGTTCTGCCAGGTCCCTGTGTCGCGCAACCAACTGCAATGATGATTTAGTCGCCTACTATGCGTTCACTCCCCTCAATGATTTCTTAAGTTATTGTGCGAACGATTTGCAGACTTCTCGCGCAATGTCAAAGCCTCCGAACGGCTACCAACTCATCCATCACACCTGACTCTCCTCGTAGAGGACAACCTTCCTTTTGATATAGTCCTAGGAATGGACTGGGGAGAGGCAGCCGGGGCCACACTTCATTTGAGAGAGCACGAGTGTAGGCTCCCTAGTCCGTCAGGCGGGGTCAAGACTGCCCGTTTGTTCCACGTGTCAGGAGTAGATAACTCCCTGGCACATTGTTGCCTTAGCGCTCCTGCGTTTGCAAGATTAGTGAAGGAGCAACAGCTAGAAGAACAGGTCTTTGTAGCCTATGTCAGGCCAATTACTGAGCCTAAAGAGGAAAAACCCATAGATCCCGCTATTGCCAAGTTGTTGGAAGAGTATGTAGATTTAGCTAAGCCGCCTACGGGAGTAGTCTCGCGGACCATCTAGCACCGCATTGAGATAGAATCTGGCAGTAGGACTCCTAAAGGAGCAGTGTATAGGATGTCCCCGCGGGAATTGGAGGAGTTGCGCAAGCAGTTAGACGAACTCTTAGAGAAGGGTTGAATTAGGCGTAGTTCGTCTCCATTTGGAGCACCTGTTCTATTTGTCCCAAAGAAGGAGGGATAGCTTAGAATGTGCATCGACTATAGGGGTCTTAATGCTATCACAGTGAAGAATGCAGAGCCACTGCCCCGTATAGATGATCTTTTAGATTGGGTGCAGGGTTGCAAGTATTTTTCGAAGATAGATCTGAAGTTCGGATATCATCAAATAGAGGTCCATCCTGATGACCAGTATAAAACCACGTTCCGGACTAGATATGGGCACTATGAGTTTGTAGTTATGCCCTTTGGACTACCAACGCGCCAACAACTTTTCAGCATTGTATGAATGACTTGTTTAGGCCGTGGTTAGACAGGTTTGTAGTAGTCTATTTAGATGACATTCTAGTGTTCAGTAGGACCCTCCAGGAGCATGAGGATCATATGAGGCAGGTCTTGGAAAAGCTGAGAGAGGCCAACTTCAAGATCAACGCAAAGAAGTGCGAATGGGCAAAGACCCAAGTTCTTTATTTAGGCCATGTCTTAGATGGAGACGGCGTCAAACCAGAAGATAGTAAGATTGCAGCGATTAGAGATTGGCCTACACCCCGCACGTTGACAAAGTTGCGGTCGTTCTTAGGCCTAGCTAACTACTACAGGAAGTTTGTTAGGAACTTCTCCACCATCGCTGCCCCCCTTCGCAGGTTGCTGAAGAAAGAAGCGATCTGGAGGTGGGACAAGGACTGCACGTCTGCCATGAAGTTAAAGCAGGCATTGATAGAGTACCCAGTTCTCAAAGTAGTCGATCCGTCCTTACCTTTCGTCGTCACTACTGACGCGAGCTAGTACAGTATAGGTGTTGTGTTACAGCAAGACCATGGCAATGGGTATAGGCCCATAGAGTTCATGTCTGCCAGAATGCCTTCGGAGAAGGTCGTGACATCTACCTATGAGAGGGAACTCTACGCTCTCAGGCAAGCTCTAGAACACTGGAAGCACTACTTGCTTGGGAGGCACTTTAAAGTCTACTAAGACCACGAAACATTAAGGTGGTTAAAGACCCAGGCCAAGATGACACCTAAGTTGACTAGGTGGGCCGCCGAATTAGACTAGTATGATTTTGAGCTCGAGCCAGTCAATGGGAAGTAAAATGTAGTTGCGGACGCTCTGAGTAAGAGAGGTGACTACTTTGGAGCAATAGTTCATTATTTGGATATAGGGAGAGACCTGCAGCAGGAAGTTAGAGAGGCGTACACGCAAGACCCTATTTATAGTGACCTCCTCAAGAGAGTTAGGGAGGCCGCGAAAATTGAGTCAGATTACCGCACTACAGAGGGGTTACTATTCGAGAAGAGTAACGTAGTAGACCGCTTGTGCGTTCCTAACGATGAGGAGATCCATAGTCTGATCCTAGGGGAATGTCACGATACAGAGGGACATTTCGGTTGGCAAAAGACTTTAGCCAATCTGATGCACGCATACACTTGGCCAGGGATGAAAAATGACTGCATAGAGTATGTTCGCAGTTGTAAAGTTTGCCAGAGGAATAAGACTACTACGTGTGCCCCCCTAGGTCTTCTCAGACCCCTGCCTATTCCTGATCAGCCAGGAGATTCAGTGTCCATTGACTTTATGGACGTTGGCGTCAAGAGTAGGCATGGCAAGAGCCAAGTCATGGTCATAGTTGATAGATGTAGTAAATATGTTGTTTTTGTCCCATTACTTGCAGAAGCTCGAACCGAGCTAGTAATTCAAAAGTTTTTGATCATTGGGTCAGTGAGCACGGGGTTCCGCTGTCTATGATTAGTGATAGAGACACCCGGTTCACTAGTTAGAACTGGCAGGAGTTGATGAGAGTCTATGGCTCCAAGTTGTTGATGTCATCTGGCCGTCATCCAGAGACCAACGGTCAGACTGAACAGACGAATAAGATCCTGCAACAAGTTCTGCGTATGTACATTAGACCGGATCAGATCAATTGGGATGAGATGTTGCCCAAAGTAGCCAGTGCGTACAATAACAACGTGCACGTGTCTACCTGTGGCACTCCCAACGAGTTACACAAGTCCTTTAGACCACGCAGACCGTTTGACGGACTTAACCGGGACCGGATTCACAGGCTACCGCCCGGTACTAGGGAGTTTGCGTTAGAGCACGAGAAAGAGTTAGCTACCGTGGTAGAGAACCTCAGGAACGCCCAACACCGAATGATAGAACAAGCTAATAAGCACTGTCACCCGTCACAGTTTCAAGTAGGCGACCTGGTCTGGGTCAAGTCCAAAGAGTTTGCTCCCGAGGAAAACATCTCGCAGAAGTTATTGCCCGGGTATAGAGGACCGTGGCCAGTTCTAGAAGTTAAGGGCGGAGAGGATGGGCCATCCTACACAGTAGAGATCCCAGCACACCTCGGCACCTACCCTGTGTTTCATGCCTCAAAGTTGTTGCCGTATGTCACAAGTCAACAGTTTCCATCTAGAAGATCCATGATTCCTCCAGACATGGACGGAAGATACGACATTGACGGCATTGTAGGTGAAGATGTGTTCAGAACAGGAGGTAGAGGTCGTCCGCAGAAGCACTACAAGGTTTGATTTGCTTATTAGGAACCAGAAGACGACCGCTGGTTTACTAGAACAGAACTTCTAGAAACAACTCCCGACATAGTTAGAGCCTACGAAAGAGATAAGAAAGGTAAAGGTCCTGCCTTGGACTGAGTTATTCTCGGAGGACCTCGAATTTAGGCCGGCGGGAGTGAAACGGTTTTCACCTGGTAGCAGTAGCGAATGCAGATCCCAGGGCTCGATCCCTAGTTTTGACCTTACCTGTGTACAGTAACGAGTTGACCCCTGAGTGTTTGAACCCATGACCTGTGTTTTGTTAGTTGTTGTTTGTATGTCATAGGACTGTGGAGATGTAGGGATTCGATCTGTAGGTCTGTCGAGTAGGGGTCACAGCTCTGTAGTGGTCGTAGCTATAGGTCTACTGAAAGGTCAAGGTCGTAGCTGCTACAGCCCTGAAAGGTCAAGGGCGTAGCTGCTACAGTACCCGAAAGGCCAAGTCCACAGACTTCCGGAAGGTCCCGGAAGGGGCCTTTCGGAGTGGGCTCACGTTTAGGCAGAGGCAAGTGGGCAAGTGGTGGAGCCAACCTCAGTACGTTGGCAGTGCGACTGCAGTGAGTCTGCAGTGCAAATCCATGCAGTCAGCGGTACCGGTCCAGTCAGTCCCAGTCCAGTCCAGCAAGTACCATGAGGGACTGTGTGCACCGTGGGCCGATGGGAAAGGGCAGACCAGCGAGTTACAGAAGTATAAATCAAGAGGCAGCGCGCAGCCATTCATTCATTCCTGCGTAAGCCATGCGGAAGCGCTGCCACAGCGACTTGTGCGAGGTGGTGTGCAGGGAGCCCGGAGACGAAGTGGGCGAGAAGGAAGTTAGCCATAGCGATAGGGTAGCAGTGGCCATAGCTGCCATAGCTGTAGATGTGTGCGGGTGTGTGTGAGTGTACACAGTGTGTTGCGTGTGGGATATCCAGGGTGATCCTGTGTGCGAACAGCAGTGCTGAGTAAGTGACGAACAGAGAGTTGTACAGGCGAGGTGCCGCCATAGCCATTTGAAGTGAACTTGTATCTGAGCTGCGTTCTTGGCTACTATATCTCTGAGTTCTGAGTTGGCGCTTGACGCCAGTTTGCTGCGCAACCTGTTTGCATGCATGTGAAGTGTGAATGAAAGCGAGTCTGATTGCAATTCTTTTCATTACAACTTTGCACTAGTACAAAATGGTGTTAGGAGGCAGGCAGATAGCATTAGCCAATTGATATAATATTTATCCCAATGGATAGTACATTATATGATTTTATATCCAACAATTGTCATGAATACCATGTCATGTTATTTAGTGTGAGCCTTCTAGTCCTTCGCTGAGACTGCAAATATTTCTCCTCTTCTATTGCAGAGTGTGAAAACGACTTCTCCCTGAGTCTGGGTGGAGATACCAAGGTAGTTTGTATCACCTTCTCCCCTCCTATCGGTTTGTCTTATGAACGTTGAGAAAAAAAAAAGCAAACATAGTACTTACATTGAGAAAGAAAAAAGATGACATGGTACTTGTCACCTCCTGCTCCTATTGTGTTTACTGAGGGACACTGCTGATCTTGCTTGTGGATTTGACATGGGTGTCGTGCAGATTTGTCCCTGAATTGCTGGTGAGGAGCAGGAAAGAGGTGAGTAGTACTCGGATGGCTGTTTTCTGTATGCGTTATTGATTGTCGTCCCTGGTTTGGTAGTCTCCCCTCTCAACCCCCCGCTGTGGATAGAAGAAGAGCACCGTGCTCTCTGCCAAGGGGATGACAGTACTCCAACTGGTGTGAACATAAGAGGTCTCGACTATAGCATTTATGGGAGTCGGCTGCACCTCCAGCCTGTTCCACGGAATCACATGCCAGGCATGGATCGAAATATTTGTGCGTACATCCTGCATTGTCCAGGTCATTTCAGTGCTGCAACCTTCGTGTGCAATTCATGGACCCTATGGGACAATGGCGATAGGGTGCACACAGTGGGAAGTATTGATCAAAAACAAAAACCTATAGCTAAGTGGGTCGTGGGGGTAACACTGCGCACCGATATCTTTCGTTTTCCTGCACTGCGGGCCTTTGGATCTTGAAATCAGTGGCCTTGATTGCCCGAAAAGATAGTTTTTTGTGAAATGTGTCCAGGCCAACCTAGGTGACACATAGTGACTTTGCGAAATCATGCATTGCAGCCATTGATAAATCGTTGTCGAACGACCTCTCCTTGAATTGCGGCGTAGGCGCAGGGCTGATTGTGTCAGGTGTACCCGTTTTCATTTTTTCCCTTTGTGCCGTGATTCTTTGACAATTCTGCCCTGCCGGGACTTTTTCTTTCGGTGTCCCTGCCTCCAGTGGTGGCACTTCACGGCTTCCGCGCAGGGCGATCCAAAAGACTTGACCTTTTCTTTTCCCTTTCGCCATGGCCCCTCCTCTGGTAGCGTCCGGGGCCAGGTCGATGCTGGGCGTGGGGGTTCACGTCTAACCTTTTTCTTTACATTGTCGCTGGTCCTGGTCGTGGTCCTTTTCCATGTTTGTGCTGCGCGGGCCAAAAATCTTCGAGGGTGAACATATCTCCCGCTATCCCAGCCAGCCGAACATGCAAACCAGGACCCGCGCCAATCCGCCACACACACAAAGCGGCACGCCCACAGGGCCACCTATCCGC